AGTTTAATGACTAGGGAATAACATCAGAACGCACAGGACAATAATTAATTAGCAAAAGGTATAAAGATGAAAAGTCCAAACCTAATCCTATCTATAATTTTTAAAAGCTTGTCATATCAATAAAATACTTGTATTGGAAAGCAATTAATTTTTAAACTCTTTAATAATCTATGAGCTACTTTATAATGTTTATTAAACACATCACTAAAATAAGTAAAAAAATTGAAGTATTTTCTGTATCGGAGGAATAGGCAAATTAGGGAAATTAAAGAAAAAATCTTTAAATTTTTATTTTAATCCTTATATTATCAGAAAGTCATAAGTCCATTTTATATTGCACTAGAAGAGCCTTGCTCTTTTACTTCTACAACAACTGTATTAATATAAATAATAATATATACCAACTTTCTACAGTGTCCAAAATGATCTTTGATCAAAAGAGAACTTTTGTCATTTTGCATAATTTTCCTTCAAAGTTTGAATAAACGCAATTCGGTGGTAGGATGGCAAGTTTTTGAACGAATTTTGACAAAATGTGAGGTTTTGAAAACAAATAGGGCCTACAGTCGGAAAAGGAGAAAAATGGACAATGTGAAATGTGAGACGGCCGAAAAAAAAATGTGAGACGGCAAGCTTAAGCCTTCTTTATAGAGCAACGTGGTTGATTAAGACTTGAAAAAGTAAACAACATCATTTCACGATGAATTCCAACAAATGTACTTCCCTCCTCACAGCATACTCTCGTTAACATTGTGTAAATACTAAATACATATTTTGACGTTAAATTTGAAAATCTCAAATCTTTAAGTCAATTTTAGGAAGACAATCCACATGAAGTCTAAGGGAATGCACATTGTCAATCTCAACCTCGTGGCTCGAGGTCGTTCCCTTCAAAACCCAAAATCCACCTCATAACTTACTAATCGACCAGCATATAATATCCTGGAATGCGCACAAGGTTGCATCTCAATCCTTCCTATTCAGCAAGAAGGTATTATTTCACTGTGGTCTGCTCACAATGCGACTGCAGCCTGTTTTGACCACTCCAAATTCGAGAGGAGGACGAGCCTGGTAAGCTCGAACTGAAGACCATAAAATGTCTTACTTTTACTGTGACTAACTTTTTACCTCGGATCCTTGTAAAGCGGTTTATGAGCTCACAAAAGACTTCCTCGACCAACAAAGGGGTTGTCCCCGCTGGCAAGGGGTAGATCCGACCCCAAAGACAGCCCCTCAAAAGGGCTAGACCTCATAAGCCGAAAAGACTACGACCTTAACCAAACAACACAAGACCACCTCTTTTCCCTCTTTTCCCTCCAAGTCAGCCAGTTCGTTAGGCTGACAAGGAGGCCGATAAACCGGGGAGAAAAGTGTCAATCATACCTAAACCCCTACGCGGTCGACGTGAGCAGTAAGAGGCCTCATGTCGAATGCTAAGACAACTTCTGGACAATGTGGTTATAGCACATGAAGTCTTCCTTTTCCTTAACAGACAGAGAACTGCGAAAAATTGCTATATGGCTTTGAAACTTGACATGGTGAAAGCTTATGATAGGCTTAAATGAAAAAGTATTCAATTAACAATGTTGTTGATGTGATTTCATGTTACATTTGTTAAGTGGATATTGTCTTTATTCAATCACCCTCATTTTCCTTTAATCTAAAGGGTCAGCCTTTTAGTTTTGCTATAACTTCTAGAGGTGTAAGGCAGGGGATCCTCTATCCATCTACCTTTCTATTCTTGTTTCTGAACTTCTATTTGCAAGTTTGAAACCTGAGGTTAATAGAGGAGGCTTTAAAGGTGTTAAGCTGGCTAGAGGAGGACCAGAGTGACACAACTGTTCTTTGCAGATGATTCTTTTATCTTCTATGAGGCTAAGGAAAATCAAGCTCAGAAACTCCTAACTATTCTGAATGAATCATCAGAAGGGTAAGTTCCCAGTCTCTAATACCTGTTACTAACCTTAGGGTTTTTTGACCAATGAATGAATACACAGAGGAGAGGATGCCCATATATGTAGACTTAGGGCCATAAGTATATGGGCTGGGCCTATAATAGTTAACACCCCCTTCAAACTCAAGGTGGAGGTGGAGGATCCGAAGCATTGAGTTTGAGCAAGTGAAGCCGATGCTGCTCTCTAGTTTGTGCTTTGGTGAAAAAATCAGCCACTTGCAGTTCTGACGGCACATACTGAAGAACAATTGTTTTCTGATGACAGTGAGATCGGGTAAATGAAGCATCAACACCAATGTGTTTTGTAAGTTCATGCTTTACTGGATCATTAGCAATTTGGATTGCTCCAATATTATCACAAAGAAAGGCGTAGGATCATCACATGGAATACCAAAATCGGCTAACAACCATCGAAGCCATATAATTTCTGAGGTGGTAGTAGCAAGTGCTCGAAGTTCTGCCTCTGTGCTAGATCGAGATACAGTTGTTTGCTTCTTGGACTTCCATGTAAGGGGAGAAGAACAAAAAAAAAAATGCAATAACCAGTGACAGAACGACGATCAATGGGATTACTCGCCCAAGTAGAATCCAAGTAAGCATGAAGCTGAAGCGACTATCACGAGCATATAATAGACATTGAGATGATGTTCCCCTTAAGTATCGTAGCACGCGAAGCAAATGCCTAAAAATGAACCGAAGTAGGAGCACTCACAAACTGACTCAATATATGAACTGCATGACCAATGTCAGACCTGGTAACAGTAAGATAAACAAGACTGCATACAATATGACGATAGCGAGACGGATCCTCAAGAGGCGTACCATCAGTGGGACGAAGCTGCAGGTGAAGATCCATAGGTGTAACCGCTGTCCGATTACCAGTAATACTGGAACGAACAAGAAGGTCTTGTATGTATTTGGACTGATAAATGTAATAGCCCGAGGCAGAATGCATCACTTCAATGCCCAAAATATAGCTAAGAGGGTCCAAATCGGACATCTGAAATTGTTGACCGAGTTGCTTCTTGACATGAGAAATATGCTCTGCATCATCTCCCGTAAGTAACATATCATCAACATATAGAAGAAGTAGAGTACGCCCACGTGGAGAGAGATGAATAAACAAAGCAGGATCATGATCACGAGGGGAGAAACCAGCAACTCGTATGACAGAGACAAAACGCTCAAACCAAGCACGAGGAGCTTGTTTGAGACCATATAATGCGCGACGAAGGCGACAAACATGTCCAGAGGGGGCATCAACACCCTGTGGTGGCTGCATATAAACTTCCTCATGCAGATCACCATGAAGAAAGGCATTCTTCACATCCATCTGAGATATGGTCCAGGAACGAGTACCAGCCACTGCAATCAAAGTACGAACAGTAGTCATGTGAACAACGGGAGCAAAAGTTGTTGGGTTCGATAGTACCGTACGGGCTTTAAGCAGCGGAATTTAAAATTTTTCAAAGTAAGTATTTATCGAATAAATACAACACCCGTACATACTAATTTCGAATTAACTGATCGTCATCTTTAAAACATGCATCACATACAAATTTTGATTTGTTATAATAAAGTAAATACAAATACAAATAAATAGTATTTACCGAGTAGTTCTTGAACTCCTTCAATTTAACCGAAGTGGATTGTGGGAATCGGTTCCCGGTTTGTAACGTCAACGGATTGAGGTTACTCGCTTGAGGAATCCAAGTGTCTTCCCTCTAATCGTATCCACCCTATGAAGCCCGGTTCCGACTACCTTCCTTCGCTAGTAGGAATGTCTCGGTTTTCTCGTATAGGAATATATATATATATATATATAAATAATTTGGGAATTTCCAAGAACACTTTCTTGAAATATATGAAGAACACTTTCTTCTCTCTTTGAATTTCTCACAAAATCACTTAGCATAATTTGCAAACATTTTGCATCTATTTATACTAAACATTTTAGCATAAAATAATCAATATTTAGTAATATTAAATAAAATCTGATTTTATTTAAAAATCATATTACTAACTATTGACTTTATATATAATAAACAATGTTAAGTAGTTCAAACAACCATCTAACCACCATTTATTATATTCATTTTATTATTTTAATCCTTAAATCATATTTAAAGATAAAAATAATAATATAATAATAAATCTTGAGAATCTATTCCAAGACTTTATTATTATATTCATTTCCCAATTTTCATCCATATTATAATAATCATATTATTATTATTTTGGATTTGAAATTTAAAATCCTATTTTAAAATTCAACTTTATTAATTTAGTAATTACTTTAATTACTAAAGTAATATCCAAAATGTAATTAATCAATCTTATTGATTAATATATTCCTTTAATTGACATCTAATCAAATTAGATATTTATCAATTAATTCTAACCATTAGAAATACAATCTTTACCTTTGTTCATAATTAGTGTGACCTTTTAGGTTCACTATTAATACTAGTAGTGGGTTTACAACACTTTGTAATTTGAGTTAAATCTTATTAACTCTTATTCAAGAATTAACCCCTTAATTCATGAACCCACATATCATGGTAACACCTAGCAAGTATCATGAATCTAGTATTAAGTGAATAGCGAGTAAACCTATTCCGATTACAACTCCATACATGTAAAATCCTTTCGACATCTAATTTCCCGATTAAGTCTTGGGTATGATTTTGTCGAAACCCAAATTGACTTAATAACTATGATTCTATTTCATGTTTATTAACCCGGTTATGAATCACTATTCATCTCTGCCTTGGCCAAGGACTTTGGATTAATAACTATGAAACACATAGGAAATTCACTTATCTTCATAAGTGTCGAATCCTTTATTGGCCACTAACAAACTTCCATACATATTAACATAATACCCAACTTATCCCTTTAAACGATAGTGCTAGCTACCAAAAGGATAAATCAAAGTAGAATGTAATATGCACAAAGTTACCATTGTGCCTCAAGTCTTAGGATTAGTCATGTACTATTGTAACATGAAAATTCTTATTCGAC